GACACATTCTGGTGTGGTGAGATGGCAACAGCAAGCTAGAAGAATTATCTAGTTATTTAAATAGTAAAGAACCATCAATTCATATATGAATTTGAAGAAAATAATAGCCTAAATTTCCTGGACTTAATAGTAAAAACAAGAAATAGATGGTAACATGGAAACATCAGTTTATAGAAAACCATTTTCTGTTGTCATTCTGCAACACCAGAATCATGTCATGTAAAAATAGCAAAAAAATCTCTGCATTTTATACATATGTTTACAGAGATTTAAAAATATGTACAAGACAGGAAGATTTAAGTATTGAACTGTTACTTACTGTTACCTTATATTCCAGATTTAACAGGTCAATTATTTAAAGAAGTAACAGAACTTTTATCCCATCTTTAAACCTATAAATAAGATTAAAGAAATGTTGGGGAGTAGTAAGGATAAAAATAGAATTAGAAGATAAAACTGGAATTTACAAAATAGAATGGGAGTACTTATATTGGTCAAACTAAAAGGAATTTGAAATAGAGATTACAGGAACGTAAAGGTTACATAAGAAATAATACAATAGAAAACTTGGCTACAGCAGGATGCATAAAATCAACACAACATACAATTTTATGGTAACAAAACTACAACGTTAGCTCAACCTCACAGTATTACAACTTTAAATGTTGGAGAATCACTAGAAATAATAAAATTCAAAAAACAAAAAGAAGTATTAAACAGAGATGAAGGGCTGTCAAGTCAGGGTATTGATATTTGGGGTAATGTATTATAAAGGTTGACCAAGGAATTATGTAAATAACAATGTATTGTAATATCACATGACATGAGAAAAAAATGTATAAATTACTGTCTCTTGCAAATGACTCCTGAAGACAACATAGAACATGTTGAAACAATGTAGATGCAGAGTGTGCTTTTTAAGTGGAAGCCTTTGATGAGTTAAATATAAAACATTTATTTTAGTTATTTATTAAATTTTAATAGAAGCAAGTTTCAAAATGCATGTCATACAGCTTGTAGTATGAACAGTAAAAACAAGTTTCAATATGTGTATCAAACACTGTACTACATCCAGTAGAAACAAATTTCAATATGTCTATCTAACAGACTGTAGTAATGCCAGTAGATATAAGTTTCAACTTGTGTGTCAAAATGTCTGTACTACAACCAATAGAAACATGTTTCAAGTTGTGTATCACACAGACTATATTGGGACCAGTAGAAACAAGTTTCAAGCTGTTTATCAAACAGGCTATATTACGACCAGTAGAAACAAGTTTCAAGTTATGTATCAAATTGACTGTAGTACAACCAGTAGAAACAAGTTTCAAGTTATTTTTTGGATAGGTTGTAATTAGAGATGCACGGGTACCCGGCCAGATATTCGCCCCTGCAAGGTATTAGGCTACTCGGCTCTGGCTGAGTGTCAAAGCTAGGCATCTAAGCCCTAATCTTTCTGGCAACTAACATAGTACTGAAAGTTACAGTCAATAATTGGTTTAGTTAAAAAAAACGTTCTGAGCAACAAAAACTAACCGCCAGCTGAAAGTCAGGGATTCAGAGAACAATAGGGGTTAATAACAGGCATGGCTTGAGAATTGGATTTCTGGGGAAGGTGGGGGTTTCGAGAATAATAGGAGTTAGGGTTTGAGAAGTTGGGGCTAGACATTGAAAGTTGAAAGTAAAACTTGAATGTTCTGTTGGTGATTATTCGGTTAAATGTCAATTTTGTTGTTGTTTCTAATTTTTGTGTATATTTTCTGGGGGTGGGAGGTGAGGGGAAAACTCAGTCCCGGTTGACACCTGGCACCAGCCAAAGTTTATTCATTGGGTACCCGGTATTCGGCCAAAGTTTACTGCCTGTGCATCCCTAATTGTAATACAAGTAGTAGAAACAAGTTTCAAGTTATTTATCAAACAGACTGTGGTAGGACCAGAAGAGAAAAGTTTCAGTTTGTGTATTATACACACTGTAGTACAAATTTCAATATGTGTGTATCAAACACAACATAGAATAACCAGTAGAAACAAGTTTCAAGTTATCTATCAAACAGACTGTAGTACAACCAGGAGAAAAAAGTTTCAACTTGTGTGTCAGACAGAGGCTTGTACAATCAATAGAAATGTCTTTCAAGCTGTTTATTAAACAGACTTTTATATAACTAGTAGAAACAAGTTTCAAATTGTTTTTCAGACAGACTGTTTTTGAAATAGTAAACACAAGTTTCAAGTTCTGTATGAAACAGACTATAGTACACCCAGTATGAGAGGGTTTCAAGTGTCTTTTTATCAAACTGATAATCAGTAGAAAAATTCTTTACACTATAGGATATCACAGTTGTATCTAAAACTCTAAATAATTCTTTTTTTCTTGTCAAAAGTCTATTCAGGCTTATTTAATTACTTTAGAATCCAGTTGATAAAATGAACTATTTTTCTCTACTTTGTTTCTTACTGTACAATCTGTGATAGATTCGCTTACTTTACTCTGTGGGTTACCACAGTTGTATCTTGAACGTTAAATAATTGTTTCCTTTTCATCAAAGTCCACACAGATGGGTTCAATTACTTTAGAACACCCCTTGACAAGACAAATTATTCTCCTTATCTCTATTAAACTGTGAATTTGCTTTAAAATATCCCCCATTATGGCTAATCACTCACACCCCAGCTAACTTCAAGTTTTCTAACTTTTTTCTGACTTAACTTTTTCTCTTCTTCACTTGCACTCACTTGGTTGCCTATATTTATATTGTTGCGTCAGCGAGGTCACGTGACTAGTATCACGCCACCTCCTTCTAGAAATATCCTGTTCCTTCATGAATTGTCGGGAGATTACTAGATTAGGGGTAGACTGGTATATATAAGACCGGCCACGAAGCGATGGGGAGGTAATGAGTAATTGAACTGCAGTCAGAGAGTGTGTAATTGAACTGAATATTGTTGAAGTCGAGCACGTGAGACGTTCATTGAGAATTATAGAGCGACTGTTGAAATTAAGTGTATCGCAAAGTTATATTCAAAAAGAATAAACCAGTTTTATTTAAGAAAGGACTTGTGTCGCTAAAGTTTCATTGGAACGAATTTACAGAAAATTAAACGGAGACGTAACAATATGTTGTTCACTGAGACTTTCTATAAACTATGCGAGTGATGCTATAATGTAACGATACTCAGTTAAGGTAATGAGAAAAACTGAAGATTCAAGTAATGTGATGTCAAAAATATTAATAAAGCCTAGATAACAGTGTAATTGTAAACACAATGTATGACTCTTACAGAGTTACGTAACAAAAATTTGTCACAACTAACATTTTTAAAACAATCAGTCTTTCATACTGCTGTCATGATAACTAAACGATCATTAGATATTAAGTCACAAAATAAACTAAGTAATAACACTTGCATTAAACAGTCTTATATATCCAACACAGTACAAACAAATATCAAGTTGTTCACCAAATAGACTATAGTACAACCAGTAGAAAAACGTTTCAAGTTGTGTGTCAAACAAACTTTAGTAGAAACAACCTTGAAGTTGTTTCTCAAACAGCCTGTATTATGACCAGTAGAAACAAGTTTCAAGTTATTTTTCAAACAGGCTGTATGTAATACAGGTAGTATTAGTATTTTAATGTTTATATGAAACCTTTCTCCTTTAAGTTAATATCTTCTTAAATAATCATTTGACATTTAAACAAACTTAGCATTTCTTTGTAAAAGTTATAAGACCTTTTATATTCTTCATTTTTTGAAGATATGTTTATATACTTATCAGTTACTTCAATAAATCAGAAGCACTGAATAAAAACTTAAGTGTTATCATAACTGTATTATATTCAAGTTGTGTATCAAACAGACTGTAGTATCACCATTAGAAACAAGTTTCAAGTTGTGTATCAAACAGACTGTAGTATCACCATTAGAAACAAGTTTTAAGTTGTGTATCAAACAGACTGTAGTATCACCATTAGAAACAAGTTTCAAGTTGTGTATCAAACAGACTATAGTACAATCAGTAGAATCCAATTTCAAGTTTTGTAGAAGACTGTAATAGAAACAGTGGAATCAAGTTTCAAGTTAATTGTCATATATGTACATATATTATAGTTGAACCAGTAGAACATGATGCAGGGTAATTATCAAAAGGCTAGAACAAACATTGTAAATATAATGATAGTTGAGTGTCATGCAAACTGTAGTACAAGCAAGTATAACCAAGTTTCAACATACTAGTTGACTAACACTGGAGCACAAACAGTTAGAACCACTTTGAAATTAAAGTAGGTATTCTGTAAATACTCTTTATATATTGATAGTACTTGATTTTAACAGTAGAGTGATACAATTAGTAAGATTCTACAGTAGGAGTAGAATCATAGTAAGATTAAAATTATCTATGTTTGCTTCAATTTGTTATGATCAACAGCAGGAACAAAATTATAAACCTTGGCTAAAACAAATGTCTGATGTGTTTGAACAAAGTTTTAAATGTTGGATAGACAAATTGTACTGACATGCTTCAAACAAAGTTTTAAATGTTGATTGAAACAAATTTACAAACTATATTAACATTCATAGAAAAAACTATAAATTTTTACCACTATAAACTATACTGACATGTTTAGAATGAAATTAGAAATGTTGACTAAAACAAAGTGTACTGACATGCATTGTACAGAAAAAAAGTTATCAGAATTGATTTTTGTAAGTACAAAGTATCATTTGATGATTTTAATTGTAGGTGCTGGAGGATATGATTGGTGTTTATACATACTGTATGAAAGCCCTGAATAAAAGTTGACTGTAGAAAACAGGGCAAAAAAGAAGTAAAGTGTTGTTAAAAACTTACTTATTTACTAATGTTTTGGGTTGTGTCTTATGCACACATTAAGGAAAATGATATTCCTTTTTTATTACTTCAAATTTCATGTATTCTGAGAATTATAACCTGTTGTTTTATACTTTCTTATTCATAACTTCATAACTTATTTTTTTAGACTGCTGGTGTAAACATTTTGAAAAAAGTAAACGGTCACAACTTCCGACTGAGATTAGGCTTCCTGGAGATCTTAGTAGACACCCCACCAGGGGGCCAAAATGGGGAAACAAAACAGCAAATTGAAACCAGAGGTTTTAGAAGATTTGAAACAGAATACTGAGTTTACAGATACTGAGATCCAAGAGTGGTACAAGGGATTTTTGAAGGACTGTCCAAGTGGTAGCCTATCAATAGATGAATTTAAGAAAATATATGGGAACTTTTTCCCTTATGGTGATGCATCGAAGTTTGCTGAGCATGTGTTTCGTACATTTGATGCCAATGGAGATGGGACAATAGACTTTCGTGAATTTCTGTGTGCTCTGAGTGTTACCTCTCGTGGCAAATTAGACCAGAAGCTGAAATGGGCATTCTCTATGTATGATTTAGATGGAAATGGATTTATATCTAGGCAAGAAATGTTAGAAATTGTAACAGTATGTATTTAAGTTTCCTATCTTTATTGCGACTTATTATGTTTTATAACTTTTATTTCTTTTGTTATTTAGGTATTTTAAAATTAGCATCTTACAGTTTTTGTGTATATAATCTGTTTGTCAACCACCAGTTGTCAGATTCCATTTAATACCAGTGTTACCACTAAATTATACATTGTACTTACATTTACATTTGAGAATATTATTGCAATAGAACTTATAATAAGTAAATTCTGTTGTCTCACAAAATGAGAAAATACATGTTCTCCTTGAACACATTAGCTGTCATTGGGTATCTAGGTTGCAGGAAGACCAAAATGTGTGGATATCTGTGAACTACTAATGCTCTAACTTCAGTTTTATAACAGAGCTAGACTAGCTTTGATTTTGTTTTGTCTGTAGGGTTAAGAACATTGGTTGCTTGTGGTGTAAGACATAAAGATAAACAGAACTACAAGAGAGAATATTTTTGCCATGAAAGGGATAGCTGTACTCCAAAACTTCTTACAGAATCTGAGGCACATTTACAATGCAATCAAACCTAATGCTGGTTTCTTTGTGTGTGCTGCCTGTTTATTGTTGAAATTTATTACCAACAAATCACAGACACCTACTGTAAAGAATTTGGCCCTTATACAGTGGTAAATGGTGGTGAAAGAAGACATAAATTACAGCAGAAGTAGACCTATATATGCACAACTGTAGTGGTGGTGAAAACAGTATAGAGATTATAGTCACTATATAACTGTCAGTTTTTTGGGCCAGATTCTTTACAGTAGGTGTTATGTTTACAAATGAAGCTTATGTTAAAGATCTATAATACTAGTTCAGTGAACTTTAACAAAGAGTCATCTCCATATTCCATTTTATTGTCCTGTTCAGTATATTAACAACCAGTCAGTTGATACAAGGAAATGGTCACCCTTTGACATATTTTTAAATTGCATTATTATGACTTATAACTTTACAGTTCAAAATAAAAAATATAATATCTCAGCTTCAAAAGTATTAAATTGCAAGACTATCATATGTGGACTATTTTAATTATTGATCTTTTTTGCTTAACTAAGGCCAGTGATCAACACAGCCTCAATGTAAAATTTAAGAAAGTGCTGTTTAATAGCTTTTGTCCACAGTTTATTTAGTTCCATCTAGTAGACACTGGGCTGTTTATGACAATCATCAGATATCCTCTGGTCAACAATTAAAAAGCTACAATTGTTTATATATGGCAGTGTTTAAATGCTTATATGAAAGATATACACAGGCAAAAAGTATGTAAAGTTTTGATCATTGCAATTGAATTTTGACCTTGAAATTTGCACTTAACTTTGCAATCTCTAAGACAGTCAGTCCACCACCAAGAGAATTATGTGTATTCAGAAATTCTACTCACTTCTACACAGAACTGATTGCTGGCACCTTGTGCACCTGCTGAAAAGTTTTTGGATATGTGTTAAGACTTTGAATGAAATGCCCACCCCCTCATATAATAATGTGTACTGCACCATTCTATAATGCAATAAGCATTAATCTGTACTACTGCACTAATAGGAGAGTAACAGTACTCCCCTTGAGCACTTTGGTTTTACCAAAAGCTCATTCTTTTCCAATGCACTGTAGTGTTCATTTATGTTCTTTTTCATTAAAAATTACAGAATTATTGTGTTTATTATTTTCAACTTTTAGTTAAGATTCAAAGTTCAAGGAAGAAAGATACAAATTTTTACAATTAATTTCAGTTAGAGCTTCAGATATGAATTATTATCTTTTTTAAATTGAATTGAGTTCTGTTTCCCTATCAAACTCTGAGATTTTGTGAAGTCTTCAAGGTTCTGTCATTAACACAGAGTTAAAGTTTTGATAATCACTACCAGGCTTGTGAATAGAAAATGACCAAGGCCTAAGTACCATGCACCTGCTGAAAAAAATTAATTAATCAAATGCTACTTTCCATGAATTCAGTTTTGTGGATCTTATTGAATATGATTTATAATATTCTTGTTTCTGAACCTCGCGAGGTCCAGACTTTTTCCATAGAAGTTGATGAATTTTCTTTAAATGGCAACTGGAGTTGCTCTTATGGTGAGTAATGTGCTGATCCTGCCTTGTCTTTGGATGTCATTGATCTGCTTTTCCCATAATCTGCCTTTGCTTCTGGTTCTTCTATCACTGACAAAATACCGGTAATACCCATCTTCATCCTTCCCTCCTCTGATGACTCAGGTGTGTGACAATAGTTCTTTTATTCCAGTTGTTTCTACTGATTCATGGGTGAGTTTCTTGTATGCACCTCAACTCATAAGATTTTTCTCCTCTTCCTTCCCTGACCTATCTATCTCACTTCTGCAGAATCTTTCTATTTCTGCATCATGTTGAACTCTTAGTTGTCACGTCCTCCCCAAACTTCAGACTCTTTTTCTGTTACAGGAATTCTTCCTCTTTTCTATTCTTCCTATTCCTTGAATCTCTTCTCCTAGCTTGAGGATTTTCATCTTCTACTTTGGCTCTCTTTTACCCTCATTCTGCTCATTTTTATCTTTTACTTACTCTCCTTCATAACCTGCTGTTCTCTTTTCCCTTTTGAGGGTGTCCATTTTGTACCCCTACAGCTTCACTGGGGAAGGTTGCTCTAACATGCTCTTCGTGGTACCCCATTTTCTTCTCTTGCTGTTGATCCTTTAACTTCATTTTTTTGTTTCTGGGATTTGCTTTATTGAGATGTTTTATTTTCTGGAGGTTAAGTGTTCTCAGTTTTATCTCAGAAAAACTCTATTTGACACCCTTCCATCATGCAGGGATTTTATGAGGAAGTTATCCTGTGCCTTCTCTCCTGAGAGGCAAGCCTTCATGGGGCTCAGTGATCAGTTGTTTGGAACCACTGCTCAGCCTTGGTCCTATGTAATCTTAGCTCTTATAATTTGTCCACCAGTTTACTTACTCACTTTGCAGGAAACCATTGGGTCAAACAAGTTTTCTCTCATAAGCTTTCTTTGTCTTTCAGGGTTAACACCTGTCGGTTTTTTAACCAAGTCCTCAGGGTTTTTACATTTACAATATACTTGTTGGGTCTGCATTTCAATCACTATATGGACAGTTGGCTTCCTAGCCCTGTTCTGAGAGGAATAATCTGCTACACACTCCCCTCTCCTTTGTGAGTCTACTTGTTAGGTTTGGCTGTTTGAGATTCTAAGTCAGTATATTGATTCCATTCAGTATCTAATTCATTTAAAAGTCTTATTAGCTGGTGAGCTTAACTGTCTCCTTTACATTTTTGAGATATATAGCTTCTGCTTTTCCAAGGCTCTTATGTCGCTTTTTCTTCCTACATATAAGGTTATGTCTCTTTTTGGAATCTGTTGTCATATCATGTTCCATTTTTCTCAGGATGTGTCCATTAGTGTATTCTGACAAATCATTGGAATGTAGCCTGTGATCCAATGTCTTCTTGCATTTCTCTACCTCCATCTCTTTATCTCTCACTGTCACGATGGCAAAAAACAATTCCACATGACTCTGAACATCCATTTTCTTCTGCCACACCTGTACTTACACTTGTTTATGGATGCCTCTCTAACTAGGTGAGGTGTGTTCTGGATATTGTGATAATTTCTGATGTTTAATTTCCTACAGAGCAATCTGTCTAAATTAATATCTTTGAGATTTGGGCAGTCCAATGGACCTGAAAACATCTTTTGTTATAGCTGTCTGGACATCCTGTTTTGATAACTCCACTGTTATTTCTTACATCAGCTGACAGGGAGATATTCATTCGTAGGACCTCTGCTTCCTTGTTCTCAAGCTGAACATAAGGGCTCATGACAATAACATTCCATTGTTCACTTTCCATGTTCTGGGAGCTTGGAATTTAGTGGCAGATCATCTGTATCACTCAGGCATAATCCTTCCTACAGAGTTATCTTTATATCTTTTGGTGGTGTTTCTGTTAACTTGTTCCCACTTTGAGAATCCTCTTATCGATGTATTTGTGACTCTTCTCCATACCATGGTCCTGACAGAACTTCCTCTGAGTCTGGATTGGTCCACCCTCTTTCTGTATGCCTATCTTCCTCTTCAAATTTTTCCATGGTGCTGTTTTTAATTCACATCACCCCTTGCCAGGTTCTTCTTATTGCTGTTCTTTGGCCAGCTGAATAATGATTTCCATTCCTGGGACCTCTATTTATTCCACCTTGAAAGTTCTTTTTCTTTTGCATCAGCTTCAGACATCCATCTTTTACCATAGTGTTCTATACCTTCACCTTCACACCTGTCTTTTGCCCAGATCTTGCAAGATGGGCAGGTATTTTTTGCACAGTAGCCCAATTTCTGGCTCACTGTTTTTGGCCATCCACCCTTGCAGTTTATCACTGTAAGTGGATGATTTATCAATACTGGTCTATTTGCTACTCCCTTCCTCAAGGTCGTCTGACTCTTCCTCATCTCACTTCCTTTTTATACCTTGCTTCTCAAGGACAGCTATCCATTTCTATGATCAACAGTTACAGTGTATCTTTGTCGACAACCTTGTCTTTTCCATTGTTATTCTTTTTTTTTCTGCTTTTTACAGACCTCTTTCATTTCCTTTTCTGGACTAGAATCTCTGTTTAGTTCTCAGGGCTCTTACATATCCTCAATTCAAACCTTTGGCCACTTGTTTCTCTTAAGATGTATCTAATTCTGTTATTGCATTTGCACTGCTCCCTATTGAAGTAATCACTTTTTTTTGCTGTGAATCCTTCTTCTTTTCTTGACTTATCTTGTTTCTTGAACAGTTGAGTTAAACAACTCATCCATTTTTCTGTGGGAGATGACTCTTTTTATCTTTTTTTCAAGTGATCTCCCAATCAGTTCATCATTTTTTAGCTTCTCTTGCCATTGAGATCACCTGGATGCGATATTGCAGGGGGGTGATACAGATGGCCCCCCGAGATCTTTGTATTACACTACTTCACCATATTATAGTTTCCTCAACCTCTAAGTTTCATCTCCTTTCAGTTACCATTCTCTAATCTTCCCAGAGACCCTAAAGAAATGAGTTATTTCTTTTTCTTGCAGATCTCATAAAAAAAAAAACAGCACCAGGTGTGATTCTTGGTCTCACACCTGGCCAGCTCCTGTTATTCTCATTCATGTTAACCCTTTGCACAGACCCTTAGTGTGGGACCTTATGCAGATGATAGAAAACTTTTACTCAGTCCACACAGCTGTCTGATGTTCTCACCTAAGCACATATCTCCTTCCTGTTTTCATCTACTGGAGCCCTGACTTTCCCAGTACCAAACCACTAAAGAGGTCAATATGGAGAATTTCCACTTGGGTTAGTGTGATCCCAATAGTAAGAGACCAAGTGGATGCACCCCTTGATTGGAACTATGTATTACAGACCACTCCCTACATTAAGAACCAGACTATTCCTGGTGTTTGTGACCAGCTATTTGGGTCTTATGTTTTCCTGGAGATGCAGGTCTGGGATGATTCACTCCTGTACCTTCTTATTCTAGTAGGTATTTCATA